TTCTAAAACTATTAAAAAACCCACTTCAATACAATAATATAGCTTTCTAGATTATTACTAAAGATTATAATATCATCTAGATAGCAAATATATATTATATTAAAAAGATCTTAAAGAATATAATATATATAGTTCTGGAAAGTTACAGACGTATTAGTTAACTCAAAGAATATAACCAAATATTTAAAATAATTATATCTAATTCTAAATATAGTTTTCTATTTATCTTTTTTCTATATACAAATTTAATAATATATATCTTTTAGATTAATTTTATTAAAATATTTTAAATCTAATAGACGATCTAAAATCTTTAAAATAAATAATAGAGGATACTAATTCTTAATAGATATTTTATTAAGTTCTTAATAATCAATATATAATCAAAGAATATTATTTTTTTTTAGAATAAAGAGAATTAATATGTATATTAGATTTTTGAACAAACGAATTAAACCTTTGTTTATATTCTTTATTAAATATATCTATAATTCTTTTAATTTATTATAGAATAAAAAATAAATTAGCCTATAGAATATCTTAAAATCTTCTTTGAAATTAATTATATAATTTATTTCTTGATTTAATAGAAGAGTTTTTGTTTTCTTATAATTAAAAATATTATAATACTCTAATAGTTTATAAAAAATTTAAAAGTCTTTCTTTATTTTAGAATCCTTTTCCTTGGCTGATAGCTAAATATTCTTAAAGATTTCAAGAAGAATATAAATTATAGTTTAATTTTTACATTTGTTTATAAATTTTTATATATTGTATAGCTCGAATTTTTTAATTCTAAATTATTATTCGTTGATCATAGGTTATAAAATAATATCAAATTTATTAAAAATAGTCTGAAAGAGTAGGATTAAATTACTATTTATACAAAAATCATAATTAATTCCTATATAAGCTTATTCGATTGTTTTAATAGTACTATAGAAATTAGTTCTAATAAGAGGAACTTTAAAAACTCTATAGATCCTTAATTAATAAAAGATTATACCTTTTAAAACTAGTACTAAATAGAAAGCTAAAGCTAATTTTATTTTTCTAATAAATTCTATATTAGTAATATTTATTTCTATATATATATTCAAATCTATATAAGTCTTTATCTCTTTATATTATATTAAGATATACAATCGAATTACCATATTAATAATAAAATAAAAAGATATATTAATATTAGCTTTTAATCTATCTTCAATTTTTTTTTTAATAATCTACTATCATCTTTAATCTTTATATTTTAGATTTAAACAGGTTTTCTATATTTTTTGAAGTATTTCTTCTTCTAATAGTTAATTTGATAGTAATAGTTATATTTGTTTTTTTCTTAGAATCTTTCATACTTTAAGATTTTCAATCTTAATCCTTATAAAAGATTTTAAATATAATAGTTTTATTTTTTTTTTAAGATCTTAATTACAATTTTTATAAATATCACTTTCTAGCTTTCTTCTTTGTTAATAAATATTTAGATTTAAAAGCAAACTTTTTTATATTAATATTATTATTATCAGACTTATTATAATCCCTTTTATTAATATATTTTTCTTAACTTATAGTATATATTATAAATTCTTTAACCTTTTTAGTTTCGACGTATTAAACTTTCTAAATCCGAAAAATAGCTTTAATAACTTTTATTTAATTAATAAATCTTTTATTTAATAGCTTGATTTACTATTAAATTAATTTCTATAATCGATTATAGAAGTTATAGTCTTTTTGTTTTTTAATTTAAAGATTCAAAGATTTTTCAATAATAATTAAATAAATTTCAAAATACAAAAGATTTTTATAAGACTTTACTCTTATATTAATAAATTTTATTTATATATTTGTTTCTATATTTTGTTTTTTGTTGTTTAGAAGCTTTAAAATCTATTCCTAGAAGTAGTTCTATTTATTTACTTTTTCCTTATTATTCTTGATATACTTCTCCTCTATTTACTATTAATCTTAATACTTCTTATTTAAATAATTTATTCCAACTAGAATTTTATTAATATTGTTATTATATTTTAGAAAGATTTTTTTGAATAGAATTTGAAGATTATTTAACTATTATTAATAATCTTTAATTAAGAATTTCTTATTAAATATAATAAGCTTTCTTTTAATTTTGTTTTTAAAAGATAGATCCTCTTTAGTAGTAGTTTTAATCTTTTCTATAATAGAAAGTCTTTATTTTAGATTATTATATTTAGCAAATTACTATTTCAAAATATTAAATTGAATACTATAAATAACTTCTATTCGTTCATAAATATTAGTTTTTTTACATCTAAATTTAAAATTCTTTGTTTTAAATATAATAATAATTATATTATATTTATTTAATTTCGATATTAAAGAAGATACTATTAATTGCAATAATAGAATAATTTTAATTTCTAAAAAAGAATCGATAACAACTAGTTTAAGAATCTAAAAAGCTTCGATAAACATAGATTCGTCTAATATTAATCCAAATTTAGATTCAAATAAGTGTATAGCTTCTAGAGTATATTGTAAGAATATTCTAGAATCTCACTCCTTTCTATTTCGTAGAATATAAGAACTCATTTTTCTCAGTCTTCTAAGAGGTTAAAGATAAAGAATTAGAAATTATAATGAGTATATAAATATAGACATACTATCTATTAATCTAATAGTAAACTAAAAGAAGGATTACTATCGAATTGTAGATAATTCGATTATCGTAGATAAGGAAGTAAAAATCTAAAAGTATTTCTATAATAAATATAATAGTATTCAAAACTGATTCTTGCAGAAGGGTAAGATCCCGAAAAGGCCTTCTTTTTATACTATAAGAAGAGTACTAGTATGATTAGATAAGCGATTATCCTATGTTGTTCACTATGAAGTAAATCCCTCATTGAGGCTAGTTCCCTCGGAGGAAGCATGCGCTTTCGGAATGGGGATGCGACGGAGATTGATGCCCTGGAATTCCTGCGCAGTAGGCGCGGGCAGTATACTCCTGCAGAGTTGGTGCAGGTAGTACACCCCTGCGTAGTAGGCGCGGGTAGCCTACCTCAGGTGCATCGTAGGAGATCCTTTGCTAATACCCGTCGAATCGTATTCACCTTGTATGAAGTCGGCACTTCTTACAAATTAAGCCTTCAAATTATTGTTAATAATATTTATTTCTTATTATATGCTATATTCTTTTATAGCAACATCTTAAAACTTATTAATTATAAGTTAATCTACTATCTATCTATTTTATATAGAAGATATATTTCAAACTATAATTAAATAGACCACTAATAATTCTAAATAAGATTATTCTTCTATAAAGTTAATATTAATAAACAAATAGTTTTCTAAAATAAATATTTTATTACTCTTAGATTATTAATTTTCTAATTTCTATTATTCTTCTAAAAAGAATTCTTTATAAATAATATTAGAAATATTATTTTAATGTTCTAAAATATCACTGTCTTTAATATAAGTAATCAAATATTTTAAATAATATATTTATAGCTAATAATGTTTTTTTCTATATAAATCTTGTTAATAGTATAAACTAAGATAATAAGATAATGAAAAATAATATATTAAATTATAGATAGTTCGTTAAATCGATTGTTTTCCAAATATATGTTGTTCAATATTAAATTATTAATCTCGTTTGTTGAATATTCTTTTTGTAATCAAAGATCTCTTTCTTTTCTTGTTGTTTCTTGTTGTAATTCTAATAAAATAGTTATTTTCTATATAGTTAAAGATGATTATTAATTGTAACTCCTTATTACTAATATAAAACTTCCTCTACAAAAGTAATTGTTTTTTTATAGTAGTTTAATTAATAGTAAAGTTATTAAATTACTTTTTTAATTTTTATTATTTGTAATTATTAATAGATATAAGAATAGATATATTGTTCGATCTAATTCTTCGTTTGCAAATAATCTTCTTCTTAATTACTTTATATAGCTTTTTCTTAAGGATTAAAGACTAATAAATATTTAAGGTTAGAACTATATCTTATTCTGTATCCTTTAATATAGACTAATTATTTATTTTGACTTTCCACTAGATAGTATATCAAATAAAGCTTATGGAAAGCTTATCGTTTAATTTATTTACTTTCTATTCAGAGAATTAAAATAGTTTGTTAGTTTCTAATTAGATAAAAAGTAAGGACTCAGTACTGTGCTAGAAGTAATAACTTGGTAAAGGACTGAATCTATATTCTAAGGGTAGTATATATACATATATAATATCCTAGAGTTAGAGTATATTGCGAATCCTAGTCTAAAGGATCGAGGTTCTAGGCTTGGAATTCATCATCATTGGGAAAGAAGTGGTTAATTATCGTCCTCAATTTCTAAATAAACCGAACTTCAGCATATTTTAATCAACCAGAGTTCAACAAAAGGGGACTAAAGGAATGCAGCATTTAGTAGGGCGGATAAAGTGTTTGTAAAGAAATATTTCATCCTACCAGTATTATCTCTACGTATCTCTTCGCTCGTTCACTATGTAAGTAGAGCAGTAGTATAAATAGAGTTAATCGAAGGGGGGAGGGAGTTGAGAGGTGCAGTGACCAGGCAACCGACCAAATCTCCTGCCAGCCAGTATGTTTGGCTTGTTTGCAAGTGGATGGTTCTAGACAGGCCCTAACCTATACAGCCATGATACGATAGCTATTTTTATGCTATTATTTATTACTGTACCAAGATACTGCCAAAAATATGGGTCAGGGGTAAGCTAACCATAAAAGGTATGGCGTCAGGCAAAATAAAGTTTGAGAAAGAATTGAAGAGAGTAAAGAAGTGAAACTGATTTCGAGCGCGTCTGTAACATCATTCAGCTCATAGAGACTGGCTGGTCGATTGATAGTCAATGTATCAGGTCGCCCAAAGGAAAATTGACAACAGTCAAGATTCCAATACTCCTTAATTAGTGATGTGCACAATAATCAGAATCGTGATAGATGAATCGTGACGAAATATGTACAGCCGGGAACAAACCTAAACACCTCACGAATTAAACCACATCTTAGCAATTCGCCACCCCTGTTCATAGTGCACATCAATGTAATACCTCCAAGGACTCAAAGCAACATGAATAGCCTGACATTCCCAGTCAAAGATCACTGCCGCGTCAGGAGTAACACCGAGTCTCTTTACGATATCATCAACAAGTATGCACCCAACAATAATCTCAAAAAGGGAGAGAATGGAAAGGATGGCAATTGGTCCTGGATCGGACCACCGTAGCATGCTACGAGGGGATAAGCCCGGACTCTTCTCTCTTTGAAAACAAGCAAAGGCCATCATAGCGAGAGGTGAAAGGGCCGTTAGTGTCAATGCGAGGAACATTATCCCTATAGCGATTATTGAGTTTGAATGCTGATAGGCGGGTTCAAACCCAGGATCAACGAAGAGCCAGTTGCGAGAGCAGATCTGTGTCGCTGAGCAAGTCGAAGCTCCGGGTGCAGCTTCGATTTGAGACTGCACGCAATCGTAGCTTGGATTCGGCGCGCGCAGGCCCCAGCTAGTAGACAAGCCGGAAGGAAAATTGACATGGATCACGTACAACGAAGCGATCCACTGTATTGCTGCAAGGATGTAGAAGGTCCACCGTATAACCATTTGTCCACGACGGTTTTTCCGAAATGCGCATGAAAATGGATGGTATCTGAACTGACCGGCATATTTCCAGGGGATGACCCAGCCAACTATAAAGGGTGTGGCAGCGCTCTCTGGAGCGGCAACCAGTTTCCCAAATAAAATCCACCACCAGATGAACGAACATAGATCAATGACAATAAATGGCCAACTGTACCAGTGTACATCACCAAGTCCTTTGCAGGGCTCATACATATTCCTCTTGCTGTACAACGCCTTCTGCTGTAGACAAAGCTGAACCAGCGATCCTAATACAAAGCCCGCAGATGCGGTCCAGCTAGTGAGGAGGTTCGGCCAAATGGCCGAATCACGTATAGTAGACGGAATGACCTTGTAGTCATTAAAGCAGCTCATCGCTTCGCACCAGTCCGAGATAGACCTGCTGCCCTCGTCAAATACCGTATTACTGCCGAGGTACCCGAGGTTATTGTCCCCGAAACCAGTAATTTTATTAATGCCGGTTCTCTTTAGAGCGACCAGTATGGCGGCACAGTTTGCCGTAGATGCTCGTGTACTGTAGCATTCCTCGAATCGAGTGTTTTTGTAGAGCGCATATTCTGGGCTGTCGGGGCTTGGGTTGCCGGGTCTATAGTCGCGAAAATTTAGGGATTTGACAGCGAACATGACGGTGAAAGCTATCGCGACTCCCATGAAGCCGACCATTAGGAAGGAGGCAGTCCCTATAATTCCCCAGATGGCATTTCGCTTCGACGTTTTGTCCGCTTTCTTAGGTATCGAAGGGAATTTGCAATCGGCGACATCACCTGGACAAATATTAGTGATTGTGTATTTTGAGGGCAGTAAAGATTGAAGTACGAGGACATACGTTTGCCATAAGCAGTGTCGTTATTTCGGAGTTGACCATACTCATAGCCCGTTGACCCTGTCCGCAAATTAGCCGGTCGTGGCATGATGGAGAGGCTGGATGGTTATGTTGGCTTGGAAGTTATTCATCCGAGAAGAATTACCAAGTATATAACGGTTTCATTTCAAGAGGTTCCAGAGCTAGAGTCGAATAGGATGCGAAGCGCAGCCTTGCCAGACCAGAATGTGGCGGTTCATATTTAGCTCATATAAGGAATTTAGCCTCTAGCTCGTATATGCATGCAGCCTTTAAACAAAAAGCAAAGTGCAAGCCTCACCAACATCTTTTACGGAGCGCTGCAACCCAATCATCTGAAACGAATAACGCCAAGGCAAGGCCAACTGGCTGGCGTTGGCATTTCAGCCGCACGCCTCCTTTTCATGCATTCCGGTGCGTTGGCCGGGGAAAGTCCGTTCTTTGCTTGAACAACTCACTTCTCATCGGGCTCCTCGCAGCCCAACCAAGCCACTTGTATCTAATCTTAAACCCCGAAATGCGTATTAAGCAGAGGTCCGTTCATTTCGTAATACCCTCGTACCCCCAAGTCTCTGACAAGAAGTTATTTCCACCTGCTCCTAAGAATTACCTCCGCTCCGGTCCGAGCCCTCGGGCGAGACCGGAGAAATTGAATAACATCCTCTCCTTTGGTTTCACTAGTACTTTACACTTTTCCAGACCCCCGCCAAGTTTATTAAGCGAGCATTAAGTTGAGGGACATTGTAACATGCACGCTATATGGTACGGCATCTTTCTAAAGTTATGTTGCATTACATAATACGTACAAGAATTCTATAGAATGGCTTGGAACATGTGGAGGACTTCTGCAAATCATATGGCGAAGGGCTGCAGGCGCCTTGTCACACTTGAGGGTCCACTGGGCGACTGCGATTTTTCATATCGTGCAAGATATGGATCTTTCACAATTTAGCAAGGCTAGACCTCCCCAAACTTTTCCAAGGCCAAGATTTTTCACAGGATTTGGAAACAAATACGATGTGAGTTATTATGAAATACATTCCGACACAGTCAGTAGGGAAGTGGTTTTTTTGTGTCAAACGTAGAGAAAACATATGCTAAGACAACTACTCAGAATATATCAGGACAAAGCATTAATCTTCTAAGAAGAGGGTATCGTAATGCAGTATTTTCAATACGCAGCTCTTGTTGGTGGAATGTCATCGTGGGTGATTCCGGCCACGCCATTTACCAACTAGGAATATCTGGATGCTTTTCTCTGCAGCTTCCACAATCGACATTCAGGCCAGGTGCTTACAGGCCGCAGATTATGCAGTGTTTGCCCTAAAGCCAAGCGGTGGCGTCTCCTACTGGCGGTCCGTCGGCAGCAACCTTAGCAAAGTGGCTCCTCTGGCGCCAAGAACGAACAATCCTTCAAAAGCAACCGGATATCGAGCATGGAGATTGGGCACAGCTCCTTCAATGGTCCTTAGCGAAGGAAAAAAAAGGCTAACTAGACACCATGGCGCAAACCACGGCTTTCTAGCATAAAAAAGGCCCAGCTCCCCCCCCCCTCCCCCCTTCCCTCCCCACCTTGCCCCTGGATCCTCTTCTGGCCTATGTCGGAAGCATGATCCCCAGACCCGGGAATCTCCTCGCTTTGCTCTTTTTTTGTCCTCTGGTCATAGCGACTCCGACAAATTTTCAACATTGGTTTCCCCAGTGGCGTGACGGGCTGCGGGCACTCACCGACAATGAATGTAACTGGGCATTCAAATATTATCTGAATGGGTCCAACCCCTATTGTATCCCCAAAGCCAATGGAGTACCGGACGCGGGCTGCATTGCCGGCCACATCATCGATTGTATGCTAAGCAATATGAAAGAGTCCTGGAAGGCCAATAGTATGTGACTCGAAAAGTCTCCGATTTCAAAACAATTGAATCAGCAACCTTCGGACCATCACACTAACCTCATTTTCCCGAGCAGTGGCGGCTGGCGCAGTCGTGCTGGGTCTTCTACCGACGATTCTGGCCCTGGCAGGATCGAACACCATCGAACTGGGCCTTTTATGCTTTCGGCGACCTCTTCTGGCCTTTCTATTGGGCTTAGGAACGCCGGCGATCATGCCCATTCGAACCTTCGACTATCGTAATCCGGCCGAGCTACTTCAGAAACGACAAGGTGCGCCGGAAGCGCTCAAAGCCTCGAGGCCACAGGCCAAAATAATCGTCGCGCTTCAATACATCCTGACCTGCGCGGCCCTGGCCAACGTGGCACATACAACCTGGCAGCTGACACTGTTCACTGTCATCAGCTTTGCCCCTGCTACCCAGTTCCTGCCGTCGATGTGGGTGGTGCTGGCGATTGTCATCCATATGTTCGGGACAACGGCAATTGCCCTGCGCATGAAGCTGACTTTGCGTAATGCACTGAAACCAAAGACTGCAATCAAAAAACGTTTCCATGAGGAATTCAATCTATGCGCCCACCATTCCAAAGCGCAACTGACGCTGCACCCAGAGACTAACTCGTTCATCCTTTTCTCGTGGTTGACCTCCATGGGAACAATCCTGCATATCATCTTCGGCACGCTGGTATTCTCAAGCATGCTGTTCATAGCTAGCGGAGACGCGGTCATTGTCGTTGGCAGGTTATTGGCTTCGACGGCTGTTTGCCGTGTCATCCTGATGTTTGAAATCAGTGGCATGCGGCAGGTAGTTGATACTCAATGACAACTGCCGTAAACTGACATTGCCATGTGAATGCGATCGGTTGGAGAACGGCTCGAATGAGTTCCAAGGTTGGTTTCGCTGGCGATCAAGGGCGAGGTGTGACTTATGGACTGGGTAGACGATACAGCAACCCCTACTCGACATGCCCACATCGGGAATATCCGCTGCGGACATGCCAGGCCGTTCTCGGATTAGCGATAAATGCCAAAAAAAGTTCGAAGTGATATTGGATGATGTCATAGGAGACTATTGTCATTAATCGCGCTAGTTGTTTATGCTTTTTTCCGACGGTCGTAGACCTAAAGGGGAGGTGAAAGTCAGAGGACGGAATCTAGAACGAACTATTGGGAAATCATTTCAGCCAACTCAAAACTAGTGGATCAGGTCATATTAAAGTAATAATTACTCCGCTGGATAAAATCGGATATATAGACATCAATACCGACCCCTGGCCCATAATTCACCGTAAACAAAAAACACATTCTTGGGATCCGATTCGAAAATTCAAGATCGTCGCGGACCTTGCGCTGTTCTGGCCTGATCCGACACGCGATTTCATGAACGAGGTCCACATGATAAAGTGGGCCTAGAGCGGATCCAGCCGATGTCATATTTGCATAGCCCAAGTTCGAAGAAATGGCCCCGGCATTAGCCCCCCTATCACTTCTCCAGGGTCTACCTGCTTCAATTACGCAGGCTCAGGAACGGTAATCGGGCTGAAGGGCTCTTCCTCTTGCTTGGAATCGATGAGATAAGCACCATGCCTTCGGAGGCATCTGCGCAGCTTCATACCGATGCTTCAATCTCTCGAAGCCCAGCATATGATTTTAGGTGTGAGAGTTCGAGAAATTGCCCAGATGAAACCGAGCATCATGATGCTGAGGATTCTTTCGCCAATGATGATAACTTTGGGGTCCTGAACAAGGAAGAATCTCGAGGTAGACGCTAATTTAGTGATAGCTGGCTGAGTAGGAACAAAGTAATAAACCGCGGCAAGCACTTAACATAGATTTGTTCTCGGCGTTCAATCCGAGATAAGTCCTTAGTTCTTCTTACGTACCCTTTACATGGGGCGTCGTCGGAAGGCAGTAATTACGGTCAGTTGTGGCCTAAACGGGCCACGTACAGCATGCTAGTTGTGAATGGGGCAATACTTAGCACGTGCCAAGAAAGCGAGTCATGATTGTGGGTAAAAAGAATACATTTGTAATGCGAACCCAATTGCCCCGAAACCGCTGAAATTGATAGCTTTGATAGGTAGCGCCGGGACTATCTTCACTTTGCCCTCATCAATATTGACTGATTTCGCATTGCTTGCTCCCCTTCTTTTGCGTCCAGTTGGAACGAGATTGTTCCTCCTGGTCCGACAGTTGCCTTTTCACGAGCAGTTGAGGTGAAGAGAATACAGGTCTTTTGGTGAATGCACGAATGCACGAATGCACTGGCGCGTGGGACCAGACAGAAGCAGCACTATCATATCATATACCGCACTCGCTCAGCTAACTAGGTGCTGACCTTGTTACCGATACATTGAAGTACTAGAATATTTTACACAACCAAAGCACTAAGACATTACCAATATTCTCTAGATATCAAAGCGAAATTTGGACTCCAATTGTGTACTTGGATTGTTACGCCATTGTTGATTGTTGAGCCTCTCGTTCCATTCCGTGTGTACGACCATCACCTATTTTCCCTTCCCTATATCCATCCACCTTCTGCTCCACAGGTTGAGAGTAGACTGACGCAACAGTGGCAAAAGATACCTCCCGGTAAAGAGAGAAGCCAAGGTAGGAAAGAGCGATTTCGGGGGTGATCGGAAGAGCCAGAGAAACAAAAAGCGTATTACTTTGCTGCGCCCGTCCTTTTCTTTGTGTTTTTAATGAGTAATAGAGTGAAGAAACATCAACGCGACACTGCCTTGGATACCTTGCCCGGATTAAGAAACGCTAATGACGAACTTTATAGGGCTAATTTACATTGCAAGGTGAAGTTATGGAAGGCTCATAATTACTGCTAAGGGAAGAAGAAAATACATAACATTACTACAATGACTGATGATCACCACGTTGGGGTGTCTCTTTGGCTTTTTTGTGCGCAGTAGGGACAAAAGATGAGCGGCGAAAACACCAACCTCTTTGGGATTGACAATGCCCATGGGCGAGTCCTCAGACGCCATCAACCTGAGGGTATCCTGCTTTCCGGTCTTGCGGTAGTTTCTGATTAGTCCCGCCGCGTTGGAAAGATAGAAGTGTGTGAAGACAATAGACTGGAGGAAAGTCCACTGCAGAGCGGCGAATTCCGCCATTGAAGGATAAGAATGAATGATATCCGACACTATGATCAAAACGGGAGA